TTTTACCTACCTCTCTTTCCACCCATCAATTTGTGATTATGATCAAACTATGATGAAACTCCCCTCCATTCTCACCCATCCACTCCCCTACCTGCCTTGGATCCTTGTACATGTTATACAATAAAGGGTGTATAAAAGTATTTGTCATTATAGAACTGAGTTAGTTCACTCAGCATAATGCTTTCCAGTCCTTCCCAAGTTAGGTAGTGATTTATAAAATTATTGTTCTTGCATACTGAGTAGTAAGTAGCCCATTGTGTGAATGTACCATAGTTTCTCAATCCATTCTATTGTGGTTGGTCATTTGGGCTATTTCCAAATGTTTCTTATGATGGTGAAAAATGCTGCTATGAACATTGGCCTATAACTTTCCATTTATGGCTCATTTCTCATTTTCTTGGGGTATATTCCAAGCAGTGGAACAGCTGGGTCACATGCAATTTCTGTGTTCAGCTTTCTGAAGAAACGCCAAACTGCCTTCCAGAGTTGTTGTACCATTTTATAATCCCACCAACAATATATAATAGTTCCTATATTGCCACATCCTCTCCAACATTTATTACTTGCTGCCCTGCTAAACTTTGCCACTGCTACTGGGGTAAGATGGTATCTAATTGTAGTTTTTATTTGCATCTCTCATATTGCCAGTGATTTTGAGCATTTCTTCATGTATCTGTTGACCATCCAAATGTGTTTCTCTGTGAAAAGTCTTACCATGTTTCTTATCATTCTGTAATTGGATTAACAGATTGGTTTTTGTTGGGTTGTGTTTCCTGGTGTGTTTTTTTCCCGGAGGCCCAGGAGTATTACATAAACTTTTGTTATAAGACCCTTGTCTGAATGTTTGTTCCCAGTCAGTAGTTTTTCTCTGCACCTTATTGAGAAAAGTTTTTGATGAGCACACATATTTAATCTTTAGAAGGTCCCATTCATCAATTTTGTCTTCTTCAGGTTGTGCATTTCTTGTTGGTTGTATTTGGCAAGCTCTTTATACCATATATAAACTAGGCTTTCTAATCATGATTCCAGTTTGTCTCTTATGAACTTTATGATTCGGGGCTTTATTCCCAACACTCTGATCTACTTTGAGTTGATTTTTGTGTATGGTGTGAGATGTGGATCCTGTTTCACCTTTCTGCAGGTAGAAGTCCAGTTTTGCCAACACCATTTGTTGAAGAGATTGTCATTTCCCCATTTGATAGGTTTTATTTCCTTGTCAAAAATCAGTTGACCATAGATATATGGAACCATTTCTGGGTTCTCAATTTGTTTCCATTGTTGTACATAAACCAATGTCATTGTATCAATATCGTGCTATTTTGGTTACTACTGCTGTGTAGTAGGTTTTGAGGTCAAGTATATATGAAAAACCAAGAACCAATATCATTCTCAATGGAGAAATACTAAAAAGCATTTTCTTTGATATTAGGGATCAGACAAAAATGCGCAATACCACCAGTTCTATTAAAATTGTATTGGAAGTACATTCTAGGGCAACACTAGAGAAGGAAATAAAAGGCATCTTGATGATCAAAGAGATGGTTAAACTGTTGCTATGGGAAGATAGAATGATAGTGTACACAGAAAACCCCAAAGACTCAACAAAATAAACTGTTAGAGCTAGTAGACCAATTTAGTAGAGTGGCAGGTTACAAGTTTAATATCCAGAAATCTGTGGGATTCCTCTACAGTAACAAAGAGAACTTTGAGAACAAAACCAAAAAAGCAAGACCACTTACAATAGCCAACCATAAATTGAGATACTTGGGAGTAAATCTAACTAGAGACACAAAGACCTATTCAAAGAAGAGAACTACACAACAGTTGTGTGAGACACAATAAAAGACCTAAAAAATGAAAAAATGTTCCCTGTTCATGGATATTGTTGTTGTTATGTCCATCAAGTCACCTGCAACTCATAGCGACCCTATGTACAAACAGCTCTGAACCCTGCTCTATCCTTATTGTTTCTGACCCACTAACCCCCATTATCTGAGTCACTGAGTCAATCCATCTCCTTGAAGGTCTTCCTCTCTTCGCTGTCCCTCCACCCTCCCAAGAATAATATCCCTCTCCAAGTACTGGTCCTTCCTTACAACATGCCCAATGTATGTCAGATGGAGCTTCAGAATCCTTTCTTTCAAGGAGCAGCCTCATTTTACCCTGTCCATGGATAGGACAACTCAATATTGTAAAAATGACAATCCTACCAAAAGCAATCTACATTTTCAACGCAATCCCAATATAGATACCAACTTCATTTTTAAAGGAGATTGAAATGGAAATTGTCAAGTTTATTTGTAGAGGAAAGAGACCCTGAATAAGCAAAGCACTTCTGAAAACAAAGACGTCAATCTTCTTAACACATTAGTGTCAGTAGTTTAAAGCTACAGAATTTTTACATTCAGAAAGTCTACATACAGTTACTAGTAAACAGACAACTTGTGCTATAGTTTAAATGTCATAGAGAAAAACTGTTTTAAAAAGTAAATGTTAATTTCGGAAAAAGCCATTTTTCCTCTTGGAAAACAGTTTAAGGTACAGTTCACATATGACTGAGAAAAATACAACTTTAGGATTCTTATATTCAGTTTCTAGTTAGCACACAATTTGGGATACACTTTACATATAACTGGGAATATTCTGCATGACTATAGAGAAGTTACAACAAGGTCTGAGGACCAAGCAAATGTTACTTAGACAGTTTACCACTTTTGCAGACTGGAAGCACATGATGTCATTTTTACAACAAAACCACATGTTTTGAATAATTCTGAATTTATTGATACCACTTTATCAGAAGGAAACCTTAAAATCCTAGTTGAACAAGAAACAGAAAATTTGAGAACAGAGATAAAGAAACTAAAAGATTAAGGATTAACAGAGCTAAGATCAATGTATTTCAGAGTTAACTAGTAGACATGAAGAGGAATCAAATAGCTAAAATTAAACGAAGTAACAAGTTTGCATAACCAAGTACTGGAAATGGGGGGGGGGAGATAGTTGAACTGCAGAGGAAATTAGAATCAGAAGTGAACAATCTTGAAAAGCAGAAAGAAGAAAAGTGCAAAGCTGTTATCCATGACTCTGAGAATGACAAAGGAAAACTGGTCATAAACAAAGAGCAAGACAGAAAATACTTAACCCAGAAGCTTACTTGTGACAAAGAAATCTTCATATTGCTCTCAAATTTAAAATGGGAAGAGACGTTGAGAATGAATTATTACAAAAAGTTCAACATATTGAGATTCAATTAGCAAAATGTCCTGCCACTCACTCAATCTGTCCAAGAAGCATCTTCAAATTTAGTTTCTGAACGCTAAGAAAAGCTTCAGGAGGAAAAGGCTAAGTTTCTAGAACAACTTGAAGAGAAAGAAAAAGGAAAGCATGAAGAAATGCAAAATGTTCGGATATCTTTAACTGAACAACAGATAAGTTTTATCACTGCTTTAACAAGAGATAAAATGAGAAAAAGGAATATAATAAATAATCTAAATGATAAGTTAAAAAGCATAAAGTAGAAACAAAAGTGAAATAAAGATTTAATAGAGTCACTTTCTGAAGATCAGTCTTTTATCTTGAGGAAAAGAAAAAACTTGAAGAAGAAATCAATAAGTCATTAGGGATAAAAATGTGCCAACAATGACTGAAAATCCAACTTTTCTGTAAACTCACTAAAATCACAATGTTGTTTTGGTTGTTGTTACAGGCCATCAAGTCTCTTGTGACTCACAGAGACCCTATGTACAATACCCTTAACCCTACTCTATCCTATGGCAATCTTTTTATCTCTGGCACATCTACGCCTATTACCCCAGTCACTGAATCAATCCATTTCATTGAGGGTCTTCCTCTCATGTGCTGTCCTTCCACCCTCCCAAACATGACAGCCTTCTCCAAGGCCTGGTCTCTCCTTGTAACATGTCCAAAGTATGTCAGATGATGTTTCAGAATCTTTGCCTCCAAGGAACAGTCAGGTTTCACCCTCTCCAGGAAAAACTTGTTTGTTCTACTAGCAGTCCATGGTATATTCAATACTCTCGAGTATCACAGCTTAAAGGCATCTATTGTCTTTCTGTCATCCCTAGTTATTGTCCAGTTTACTGATGTATAGCAAGTAATTGTAAAGACCATGGCCTCACAATAAAAAACAAATCAGTAAGTTGCATAGTGGCAACTCTGTTCCTTCACCTCGTGCAGTGACTGCCCCAGAATATTACAGAGCTTGTGCACTTGACCTTCCTTATTGGAGGAAGAATACTGAGGTTTCTTGCTTTCCCCAAGGCCTGACCATTCCTTGAGGAATCCTGACAGTGTCTTGATAAGACCTTACCATATTCTGGAAAGATCGCACTGGCCAGCCAGAGCCTAGTTGGGCTCTGGATCCAATCACATCTTGACAAGACCACTGCCCCCAAATTCCTGAGTAGACTACCATCTCCTATCGATCTCTTCACAGCCCCTATAAAAGGAAACGCTCTTGTCTGCCTGCACACCATTTTTATCTTCTCTGCATGCTGTCACCTGGCATCCCTCTCAAGTCTACTCAATAAAGGCCTATTCATTACTAGGGACCAGCTTCCTCTTCTCTCCTCTCTGTCTCTCATCTCTTTTTCTATCTAACACTTAGATTCCATAATGAAAACAAGCATGATGTTTGTACAAGAAAGTATCTATATGTTATCTGAAGAAAAACAGAGGATAATGCTTTTAGAGAATATATCATCATTAAAAGAAGAGATAAATAAGTTAAATCAAAGAGTTATGTCCCAAAGTATGTCTTCCGTATCTTCAACAGAAAAATGGCTATTCGAAATTTTCAAGTGGGAGATTTGGTACTTATCATCCTACATGAATGCCATGACAACTACATATTATTTTACAGTTATTCCTACCATATACTTTTTGTATTCAGAGTTTCTTCCTGCTTGAATCTTAAATCAAGTGAGGATGCTCCAAATATATCTAGAAAACCTTGGGTTCTTGAAAAAGAAATACTATCAAGCAAAGAAGGCACAAGACTGATTTAAGTTCTTTTGGGGACAAAATTTTATAAATTGAAAGCAGTATCCTGAAAGAAAAAAAAAGTTTAATTTACAAAAGAAGTTAACATTTTCTCTTTAGTCTTACAACACTCATATATCACTCAAAAGATAGTAAGCCAGTATATATATATATATATACATACACATATATATTCATATATATATATATGAAGTCAGCGTGACACTATTCTTCATTGATGTAAGACATTGGCTTTTTAACTGGCTACATTTTAAAGAAAATAAATTCATCAAACCGTAGGCTTAAAAAAGGGGGCAATTATAATATAAGATCATTAGTATAAAAAGCTAAGGAAAAGTCTGCATAAAGAATCAATTTGGATAATTAACAGGAATTAGAAAAGAGAACAAAATTTAATGGATGAGTTGTTGAAAGGAAAGGCAATAAATGATAATTATGATAATTATGATGTGATGACTACATTAGCAGAAAGCAGCAAAGGATCATTTGCATATTTTCTTCATCTCACTCAGATTTTAAGACTTTTTCTACATTCTTCCACATTTAATTTTCTCTTAACCCATTATGACTCTAAAATGTATTTTCTTATATATAGCATCTATCACTTTTGTTTATGTCATAATTATTACTTTTTTCTTTTTTTTATTAATTTTAATAGACATTTACAGAGGTTTTGGATTTTTATTCATTCATTGCTGCACTTTTCTCCCTGCCCACCCCTCCCCACCAGTTCGCTCCCCTCTCCAAAAAAGAAAAAGGAAAAAAAAATCCTTCATTATTACTTTTAAATTACAGGCTTCATTATGCTCTAAAAAAATAGTATTAATTCTCTATATGCATGATATGCAACTGATCTTTCTCTTGCATTGGAATTCCTAAAAAATTTTCCATTCCTTATCCTCCAGTAATTTTCTCAAATGCTCTATAGCAGTCCTACAACAAATACTTCATGGTTTTCAACAATATATCAGAGATATATAGGAAGATCTGGTGGCCTAGATGGTAGGGAATTGCTCTGTCAACCCAAAAGTAATGTTGCCCAAGGGTAAAAGATGAGCAATCTCCTCCCACACAATTTACAGTTCCCCAAAACCCACGGAATGTCAGCCATAAGTCAGTTCCCATGAACTGAGTTTCATTTTTTTAAGTAACTGACCAAAGGTTTAAGCAGTCTGTGTATTATCTTCTTTAGGCTAAATTCCATTTCCCTTTGGATTTTCTAAGTACTTTGAAAACCCATTCCAGTAATAATCAGATTGTGATCAGTAGGCAGGATATCAGAGAGCATGGGTTAGGGTAAATTGCTCAAGAGATCAGTCTCCAGACAAAATCTGAAGGCTGAGTGAAGTTAAGTTAAAAAGCTCTTGTGTTGACACTGTGATGATCATGTGAGTAGGTGGTAAAAAGAGGAAAGTGCTGGAACTTGGAATGCCACCCTAGGTTCCAGAACCCAAGACTGTTGTTTCTCTTGTAGAAGTTACAGAAGATGCCATCGGTGTGGGGAAAATGTCAAAAGAATTTGACATCAGGAAACCAAAGAAGGGAGGGTATAGTGTTCCAGATAATAAGCATTTGGAAAATGTGTAGATAGGGCTCTTTTTGGTTATGTTATAGAAAGAGAGATGTCCAGAGGCATAGTAAAGAGACATTCCGATACATTTGGGACCAAATCCAGGTAGAGTTGGGTTAGAGGGAAATTAATGATAGGGTGCAAATTTCCATAGTAAATTAATTGCTCACAAAAAGATGGAACCTTCCCTCATATCATCATTCCTGACAACATCCAGAAATCATCCAGTATTGTTTCCAAACTCCACCTCTTTGGCATGAACTATTCTTGTCCCAAAATACAGGTCAGGCAGTTAAACCTCTGTGGAAGATCTGGAAGCTTCTGCTAGGAATATCCAGGTGTCACACATTCATTTCCATCAGAAAGAATGAGTTCTGAACGAGCTGTATTTTGATTCTGTATCACATTTGCTAGAGAGATAGAAAATCCATTCCAATAATAATTGTTGCTGTTGTTGTTTTGAGGGAAAGGCTCTAAGGGGGAAGAGGAAGGGGGAAAGTTGATATTGAGTAAAGCAGGTAAACAAAATGTTTGTGACAAACAATTTCAAGTGAAAGAATTAGCTTCACACATATAACAATTTCTCAATCAATATTTGAGGATTTTTTTTCATCTGTATATTAGGAATTATCAACAAATAAGTAACCACATTTTTTTAATTATCAAATTGAAATGTTCATGCTAACAGAGTATGTTTTCTAGCTGAATCTCAACTTGTAGCCTACAGAACAAAGATGCTATCCCACTAACTTTTTTTTCCTTCCTCTTCATAAAATAAATATTTTCTGGCTGTTATTGTTGGTAGGTGCCGTAGAGTTGAGTATGACTCATAACAACCCTATGAACAACACAGCTGAATCCTATCCTGTGCCATTTTCACACTTTCTGACACACTAGAGCCCATTGCAGTAGTCACCATGTCAATCCACTTAGTTGAGGATCTTCCTCTCCCTCACTGATCCTCCACCCTTCCCAGCATAATTGTCTCCAAGGAGTAATCCCTCCTAGAAGCATGTCCAATATATGTGAGGCAAAAGGTCATCATCCTTGCCTCCAAAGAGCACTCCGGCAGCACCCTTTCTAAGACATATTTGTTTGTTCTATTGTTTGGGGGTTTGTTTGTTTTTTTAAGCATCTTTGAAATAGAAAATTTTTTATTAAATTGCTGAATTTTTATCTTATTTTTGCTTCTAATCTTACTATAAACTGTATTTTCTTTAGCATTGATCCTTATTAATGTAGTATAATGTAAGCCCTTGGTCTCTTGTATACTGAGTTATGGAATCTTGAACTGAATGTATCTGAAATGGTTTTTGCCAAAAAGAGAGGCAAGAGGAAGTAAGCAATAATATTGACATAGAAAATCATATCCCATATTGTTTGTTTATCTAACCTACCTTTTTAGTAGTTCTTTCTCCTCTTCTGCATACAGCTTACAGCTCCCAAAAGGCCCAAAATAAGTAATATTGCCAAAATTATTTCCTTCCAGAAAATTAGTTCCTTCCAGAAAATTAGTTCCTTCCAGAAAATTATTTTCTTCCAGAGCATATCCATTACAGACTCTGTAATGAAATATTTCATTAAATCATAAAAGTGGAGAAAATAAAGACAGCCCTTTTCATCTAAGCAGAACTTTGGCTAAAGAAAGGTTGAAAATTGGGCCTGTCAAGGAGGCAATTGGACAGCTATTTCTGTCCTCCAGAAGCTAGTTGGAAATTATAAGTTTATACTTAGTTTTAGTTGGACTTTTCCTCCAGAAATGCACACACATATGCACTCATTATTTTTCCCGTCTTTTCCAATTAAATCATTAGAACACCAGGATAGCTCAGATAAGATAGTATAAAATTACCAAGACCAGAAATGGAGTGTTCAGAAAAAATATTGTTTAATCCAAGAAAAAATGCACTTGGGAGCATGGAGGGAAAAGGTGGAGAATGGGGAGAAGTACTGAAGTATTTTAACATCAGAAGAAGAGAGTAACATAGTATAATGAAAATAGGGTCAGTCACTAAGATTTAGCATAGATCAACAGAGCCTTAGAACTCTAGCTGGGAATGTGAGAGAAAAACTCAGAGGAAAAAGGATCTCTAAGCCTGCTTAAGATATGCTATGCAAGAAATAATGGGATAGTTCACCAGAAGAAAATAACTTTTTTAAAAAATAAATAAAACCATGACATCTGGTTTTGTCTTTGTATTTTTTTTTCAATCACTGAAACATGTAAAATAACCAACCTGAGGAGGGGAAAGTGGCCATTTTCTCTTGACCCAGAAGTGAGTTGCTGATGGAACAGGTCACATTCACAGAGCTGTTTCTGACCAATACAGATGTCTCTACGTGGAATAGCCCATGGCTGTCTTGAGTCAGAATCTCAGATAATAAGGGTATTGTCTGTCCTTCCATGTTCCTCCATTGCACATGAGGCTGAGGAAACCACCCATCTGAAGAACATGTCAGCTCCATTTCTCCATCTTTTAATTCCTTCATGGTAATCCGTGGAGAAGAACCCATGTCTGGGAAATAGAAGTCAAGGAATAAACGCCAGTTGTCTCTTTGAGTGATTGATTGTTATGATTTCACTGAGAGAAGAGAAAGAGATTCAGAAAGCTTCTGGAAGACAGCAAAGCTTCATGGGCATTATATTCTACTTATGAACAAAAAAAGAGAATTTTATAACTTTTCTTTGTTTTATTTACTTATTTATTATTCTTGAAATAATTCAGGAACAAATTAAGACAATAAATTTTCACAGACCAAGGTGTTTTGTTTTGCTTCACTTTATGTCCTGAGAACAAAATAATTTTTCCCTGAACATGGACTACATATGCAGGATTTTAAAAAATATTAAAATTAAACCTGTATTGGTCAATTTGGCTGTGAGTCAATTCCAATTAATAATTAACCTTCTATCATGTTTATCAAGTTGTAAAGCTTTATGGAAGGAGAATGCCCATATTTCTGCCATAACATAACTAGTGGACTTGAACAGCTGACCTTTCGGTTAGCAGACAAAAACATTGCACACTATGCCACTAGGGTTCCTTGAAAGAAAATAAGTAAAGAAATATTCTCAAAGAATCAAAATATTATAAATATATGATTATGGCAAAATCCAATGGCATAAGATGATAGCTGTCCAGCTAACTCCTCAATGTGTTATTATTGTTGTTGTTATAGTTGTTAGGTGCCATCGAGTCAACCATAATGTATAACAACCTTTTGAGCAGCAGATTTGAACCTTGCCAAATACTGTAGAATGTTCACAATCTCTGATAAGCTCAAACTTCTTCTAATAGTCACTATGTCAGTCCATCTTATTGGGGGCTTCCTCTATTTCTCTGACCCTCCACATTTCCCAAAATAATGTCCTGTTCTAAGGAATGAACACTTCTGACAATATGCCTAAAGTATGTAAGACAAAACCTCACTATCCTTGCCTCTAAAGAGCAACCTGGTTGTTTTTCCTCCATCACAAAAGCTTATTTGTTCTTTTGGCAGTCCATGGGATAGTCAAGACTCTTCTCCAACATCACAATTGAAAGGCAAATTCAACATATGTGCCTGAAAATACTAAGTCTCTTTATAAATATTAAATCAAAGTTTGTGGGGAAAACAAGTTGCTTAAGTGTTTGGACTGTCCTCAATGATATTTTCTAATTCCGGAAAATTTATTTTTACTTTCAGGTATTTACAATGGAAATTAGTAATGAAAAGATTTTCTATTTTCTGGCAAGGTAGTCAATATTTATGGTTGTTTGTTTACCTGCAAGATTTACTTTAGTCTATTCCCCAAAGATGGCCTCTGTATGCTTTTCTTACATCAAGAGATAAAATCTATCTGTTCATTTCTACCCTTGAATTTGGGCTGATTTTGTGACTTGACCAATAATATATCGGCAAAACGAATATTGGAGGACTTCAGATCTCCTCCGTTAAGAGTATGAAAAATGGTTCTGGAAGATGAGAATAGACACTGTACTGTCTGATGAGATCTTTGTTGCATGTAGGCTTCATTGCTTACATGTTGTGGGAGTTTGAAGAAATACAGAATGTTCCTGAATCTGGGTAACTTAAAATGTCTCCAAAGAGGAGTTAAGCCTTCTTCTTGAGTTTTAAATGCTGAAAAACACCAAAAAGATGGGAAATATTGAGTTGGAATTATACTGTTCAACCCAAAGGTGGCATCTCTATGGCAGTTCAAATCTACCAGCACCACCGCTGGAGAAAGATGGGCAATCTTCTTTTATGCAACTTGCAGCCTCTGAAAACCCACTGGAAGGTCAGGTATGAGTCACTTCTGACTCAATGGCACTGGATTTTTTGAGGGAAAAAATATGGCATAAGCAAATATATACAGGTTAAAAAAAGATAAAGTCATTGGATTAATAAGAATTCTAATAATAAAAACTTCACCTAAAGTAATTAATTCATAATAATTAATAAGGATTCATAAGTATTACCAGTTTCAATGAGTGTATAATACCCCCCAAAAGAAAAAACAAACAAAAAAAACACACCTCACTATCAACAAGTCAGAAGTGACTCTCCATCAGATTTTGGAGGCTACAAATTGCACAAGAGGAGATTGTCCATCTTTCTCTCTCAGAGTAGCTAGTGAATTCAAACTACCAAAGAGGCCCTTCCTTTAGATTAGCATCACAACTTCTTACAGACTAGCCATGAGAGTGTCTTAGTGTATATAATTTTATTATTGTTGCTGTCAAGTCAGAACCATCCTATAGCTGATCCTCCAGAGGATTTTCAGAGGCAGTAAATCACATAGGAGGAGATCACACATCCTTCTCCTAGAGAGAAGCTATTGGGTTCAAACAATGTGCCTTTGGGATTACAGCACAGCTTCTTGCCACTAAGCCACCAGAGCTCCCTAAGTGCATGAGAAGTAGAGGACTTTTATTACTGTTGTAACAATAGTATTATTGATTAGTGACGCTATGAACAACTGATTTAAACTCTGTCCTATCCTCACAGTCTCTGTCCCATTCTCACAATATCTGACATACTCAAGCTTATGACTTTTAGAGATGAAATTATCCTAAGTAGGGAGCATATTTCTTCTTTTCCCAAGTCAATGGGTCCTTAAATGTAAACCAGTATGGTTTTATAAATAAGATAGTAAAATTTGCTATGGAAGCATTTTTTTTAAGCTTTCACCCAATCCGAAAATTCTTCTGATATCTGGAGAATGTCAGACTAATAAGAGGTACAATGTATTATATAGATTACAATGAAATAAAGAAAGGTACAGATTGTGTTTAGGTTTTTTGCCACCTGGGGTTTTTCAAAGCTGGGAAAGCACAGGTTATGGTAAATAAAAGCATCATATTTATCAGTCTTGTCACTTTCTAGAGGTACTAGGAAGGATATAAGTTCTATACTGAAACAATTAAATTCAATCCTATTAATTTTTTAAACATTATTTATTTTACCACTGTGGTTCAGTATTGGAGAGTATAACCTAGATTTGAAGAATGAATGTACTTTAAGAAAATTTCAAAAATAAGACAAAATTACATTAAATCAAAGTATATATATATTTCATGAATCCTCACCTGCTACCTTCAAATCCAAGCTAGACTCCTGGTAGACACCATCTTTTTCAAAAAGGCACCGGTACTGCCCATCATCTGACACTTTTGCACCGTGGATCTTCAGAGTCAGAGTCAACCTTCCATCCTCAGTGGCATCACTCAGCAGCACTGTTCTCCCTCTATATTCTTCCATTTGCTCTCTATCCAGATGGTTTCCATCCATATACACATAAACAGCAGGATATCTGTGAAGTCGGACCCACCTCACCTCCAAGTTCTGTGAGTTAGCCTTTGGTAACAGGTGACAAGTTAATTGTACATCTTCTCCCACTCTGACAAGGATGGGCTGGGAAGGTCCAATCACTTGTGAGGAAGCTGTTAGATACAACATATACAATACAAAGAGAGATTTATTTTTAAAAAAAAAAAGAAACTAGTTTCATTAGTAAGAACTTTTCTAATGGAATGTGAAAGCTTTCGGCAACTGTGGGACGCTATTGAAGGTTAAAGTCACTCTCTGGGAATTGGAGGTTTGGTTGAATAAGAATAGAGATTGTCCCTGTTCAAGGTACAATCATTCCAGGATGTATGTTAGTTCCAAAACTATCACTAAGCCACCTGTTCCTATCTAAAATTAGATGAGTTTACTGCTTTATGAGAAAATAATTTTGCAGTTAAAACTTAAAGAATTAAACTAGCTTTCTTAAACTGATCTGGATGGCCTTAAACTATCTGTTACTCTCTCTCTGATTCAGGGTGGGTTCTTTTTAATTGTAAAACTGTAAGATTGCTACAAAAAATCACAAGATTATTATGAGGTTAAGCAAACGTATCTATATAAAGGTCTTAGATTGTCATACAACATGAGTAGAGAAGGAAAGGTGTATGACTTACGGATCTTGTAATCATTCCCACTCTTGGCCTTGAATATGAGCTTCAATCAGATTTTTCAAATTTAAATCTGAAGAAGTCATCTCCTAGATTTTCTTTTAAGTAATCTTATAAGAAAGAGTGAGGTCCAGCATATGGCAGTGGAACACTGACATAAACACAGTTCACTCTTCTCAGATGATCTTGACAGATATTATAAGAACAATTAAGGAAGTTAGTCAAATACCAAGTGTAAATCAATCATGGACAACCTTCTCTCCCATTGTGGGGAATAGACAAGATATTCTCTGAGTATTTTCTTGGATCTGTGTGTTATATTACTTTCAATCAAGCACTTGTTGCTTTTGAGTGTCAGAGAGGTTGGAACTGACCCACAGCTGACCCTCCAACAGGTTTTCAGAGGCAATTAATCACATGGGAGGAGAATGATTGCCCATCTTTCTCCCATGGAGAAACTGGTAGATTTGAACTGTGTGCCCGTGGGATTGAAGCACAGTTTCTCATCACCAGGATTTCGCTTTAGTCTATCATCATATTTTCTATCAAATTATAAGAAAATTTTATATGTATAATTATTATTTATAAGAGGAGTATAAACATAAATTGTAGATTTATGTAGATGGGACTCAATGATCAGAAAAATGTCTCTGTATGTCATTAACCAAAATTTTTAGAGCATCTCACTGTCAATAAAATTCTGATTTGTAAACGTTTCCCTTCTAAACAAGCTAATTTTTTGAAAAGTGGTTTTATGTTCCTGAAGTATCTTATGAATATCCACTGAAATATTGGACCTCTTCTGGAGAAAATGCTCCCAAGAACACAGACGTTTTCTGAGTCTGACAGGATGCAAAGGGAAGCTCCATGTTCCCATCTTGTTTACCAAGTTACCTGGACACCAAAAATGTATCCTGTTATTCAGAATAAAGAAACAGCATAACTTTAATTTTTGCATATGAACCCCCAGTAAATATGTACTGTTGGCTGAAAAAAAACTCTTAAAAGTGAGACTCCACCTAAAATCCTCTGAGGGGGAGGAGATGGCCCATCTTTCTCTCTCAGAGCCACTGGGGAATTTGAGCAAGCAGAAAGGTGAGACCTGTGGGTTAGCAGCGCAGGTTCTTTTTTTATGCAGAGATTGTGCACTTATTTAACATCATCCATATACATTAAAATTACTTTCTTTAGGAGAAAATTATATCCAAAAAATTATTAAAAGGTGTTAACTTCATTAATAATCCAGAAAAAAGTAATGTAAATCCACAAAGAAGTGTGGTTATACACCCACAGAAGGAGCAAAAATGGCAGGTTTAATAATATCCAATGTTTCAAAGATGTGGAACAACAGGAACTCTCATACAATTCCGTGGAGGTATATAGACTGGTAAGTTTCATGGAAAATTACTGGGAATTATCCAATAAAATTGAAGAAATTGCTAATTACAAAATAAAATCCTTCTGAGGGAAAGGGCATGTGTGTCAACCTGCCCCAAACATTGGTTTGACTTCAAGATCTATAACTAACAATCTCCTCTATTTAATGTTTCTGTTAAAGTGCAAATGTTGACCCAGGCAGAAGGAGATCAGACTCAAAGAATATAACATGTAAGTGTACCTCCCTCCTCAGAGTTTTAAGTTGTCTGTGATTTCTAGAGGCCCTTCCCTCTATCTTTATTGTCCTTTTGGAATTCAAAATGTCACATTAGACTCTTACAGAGATTAGAGTGTGTTAGCCACCCAATTTTCCTCAAAAATATTGAACATGTGCTAAAAGGTATGACTAAAGTTATCTAAATTATGCACATTCACAAACACATATACACATTTCCTCTACCCAACAGAGAAAAGAGCTTTTCGTTTTTCATCTGGACAGAAGGGAGATGAGTTAAAGGAGAAATTAAATAGGCTCAAACATCATCAGGATATTTTCTAAACCACTCGAGCACAAAGAAAGAATGCTTAAAGTCCAGTTATAAGGGGGTGGAAAACTACCAAAAAGAAAACAAAGAAAGAAAAATAAAGAAGAAAACTATTGACCCAGTCACAGAGTCTAGGCTACATCTGGACAAGTTACAACTCGATTCTGAAAGTAATGGGATTCAGAGCCTTCTGAGTGAGGACCTGATGTTGAACACCTGGAAAGGTTTAGGGGTAGAGGATGTAAGTGATGCCTCGCTTTTATAAGTCCTCTACAGCCCACTGTTGTCCTGGACCATCCTCCATGTAACTCTCAGAGAATAGTGATAATGTCCATGCCTCTTTCAAGGGTCCAATAGAACCTATTTATTATCTCCATGACCTACCAAATTGGCAGTTTACATCAAGGTAGAACTCCTAAAAGAGGCTGTGGAGCTGTACTTTGCTGACCGTCTCTTGTATTAACTGAACTTGAAACTTAGTCAAGATGTGCCTCCATGTCTCATTCTATCAAGTGGGTGTTTCAGTATTTCGAAGCACTTTGTTCTTCAAGGAAATAGAGGATCCCATATAAGAGTGCATGTTAGTTTGTCTTACTTACCTAGTTCAGCCTGGAGTTTCTCTGGAAAAAGAAAAATAAATATACAAATAATATTATATAAATAAAACTATTGTGAATTTTTTTTATAAAGAAAAGGTGAGAAACTACTTCAGTAAAACAAAAATCAAGTAATACTTCTAATGGAAAATTCAGATTATGTAAAATCAAATGGAGAAAACATTGCTCCTTTCCCACCATCACCTAATCCAACTAATTTTCCTGTTCTGTACATAATAAATATGCTCTCAGTTCTGCCACTCATGAATCTGTTTATGCTCATATTTAACATAATGATATTCAATAATAATACTTGATCATTTTAAAAAACACAGAAAAGTTTAAAAAATAATATATGACATGGATAATTATCAACTATAATTCCAAAATATTTATACTTTCATATATGTTATCTTTCACATAAGTATTAGTTTATATATATACTAATTTTTCTATAGCTATTTATAAATAAGACAACTATATATTTCTGTCTAGATACACAGGATGTCCCAAAATTCATAGAGCATTTACACTATTTTAGTCAATAAGATTTATATGATTGGAATGGTTTTATGTAGCTATAGTTAGATATATAGATACATAATAGATTGGTAATTTTTTATCATTGAATTCTGTCCATTTTTTTAGGCACTAAACTTATCTTTAAACAAAACACCTCTTTTCTTCAGTGCTACAATTTATAGTAAGGCAAGATACTCAATTCTCCATGCTTTTGTGTTGTTGTTGCTTTGTAATTGGGTTGGGTTTGTAAATTTGTCTATAATTAAGATACTATTATATAAATTACTATCTCCATTTAGTGATCACTACAATAGAGAACAAGACAACATCTTCTTTGGAAGGGGGTATTGTTGCTGTTGTTATGTGCCTTTAAGTTGACTGTGACTCATAGTAACCGTATGATCAATAGCTCTGAACCCCGTGCTATCTTTAGCCAATCTCATTGTCTCTAACACACATTTTGAACCCCTATCGCCATATTCACTGTGTCAATCTATATCACCTAGGATTTTTCCTTTCCTGTGCTGATCCTCCACCCCTCCAAGTATGATGTCCTGGCAATATGCCCAAAGAAATTGAGATGAAGAGTCACAGTCCTTGCCTCCAAGAAGCAACCTGGTTTCACCCTCTCCCAGATCTGATTGTTCTCTTGGCAGTCCATGGTATGTTCAATACTCTTCTCCAGCACCACAACTCAAAGGCATTGATTTTTACTCTCTCATCTTTAAGTATTGTTCAGCTTTCAGGAGCATAGTAGGAAACTGAGAAGACCATGGTTTGGATGAGGTACACCTTCATCTCTAAATTGACATTGTTGCTTCTTCACACTCTGGAGGGGTTCCTAACAGCAGACTTTCCAAATGCAACTCATCTTTTGATTTCCTGACTACTGGTGCCAAGCGTATTGACTGTGGACCCAAGCAAGATAAAAATGTTAACAACCTCAATCTCCTCTCCATCTATTATGATGCTGCCAATTGGCATGGTGATACAAATCTTTGCTTTATTGGTGTTGAGATGCAATCCAGGTTGAAGATTGACCCTAGCCTTCTTCAGCAAGCACTTCAAGTCCTCTTCAGTTCTGGTGACCAAGATTGTACCATCTGCAAAACACAGGTTGCTGATGAGTCTTCCTCCAATCCTGATGCCACATTCTTCTTCTAAAGCCCAGCCTCCTAAATTGTTTGCTCCACATATAGACTGAAAATGTATGGAGAAAGGAGGCCATATCTCTGATGTATTTCTTTCTTGATTTTAAACTGTTCAAGTGTTCCCTTGCTCTGTTCATATACCAGTGTCCTAGTCTAAGTAGTGCTGTCACATGAGCACACTCAAATATATTGGGATTCCATTCTTCTCAATGTTAGCTACAATATGTTGTGATCCACAAAGTCAAATGCATTTTCATAGTAAAAAAACATAAATAGAAATTCTTGTGCTACTCTCTCTGCTTTCTACCAAGATCTGTCTGACTGACATTGGCAATGATATCCCTAGTGCCATGAACTCTTCTAAACCCAGCTTGTGTTTCTGGCAATTCTTTGTTGATGTACTATTCTAATAGTTTTGGATAATCTTCAGCAAGATTTTTCTTTCAAGTGATATTAGTGATACTGTTTGATAAATTCCAAACCCTGCTGGATCACCTTTTTTGGGAATGGGAATAAATATGGATCTCTTCCACTCAGTAGACAACGTTGTTGTCCTTCAGATTTTTTTAGCACAGCCTGATGAGCATGTCCACGGCTTATATCTATTTGTTGAAATATGTCACTTGGTATTCCATCAATTCCCGGGGTCTTATTTTTTGTCAATTCCTTCTAAGCAGCTTGAATTTCCTCCTTTATCACCATTGCTTCTTAATTAGATGCTATTTTCTGAAATAATTCTATGTTGATCAATTCTTTTTGATACAGTGACTCTGTGTACTCCTTCCACCTCTTTTAATGCTTACTGGATCATTCCATATTCTGCCCATAGTATCTTTAAATATAAATATATATTAAAGATACATACGACTCTCAGAAGAATGAGAATCCCAGAACACTTGATCATGCTAATGAGAAACCTATACTTGGACCAAGAGGCAGTCGTCACAAACAGAGCAAGGAAACACTGCATGGTTCAAAATTGGGAAGGGCATGCACCAGGGATGTGTCCTGTCTCCATACCTTCTCAACCTGTATACAGAACAGACTATCCGGGAGGCTGGGCTCTATGAGGAGGAGTGTGGGGTCAAGATTGGTGGAAGATCTATCAACAATCTGCGATATGCAGATG